AAATAATCATTGGAAATGTGGATTATACTGCAAAAACTGATCCCCAAAAGTAAAAATGTCTTAGATTTAGTGCATTTAGCCTTAAAATTCTCATATTTAAGATGATCTGTGTGTATTTTTAAAACAAGATAAATATATATTATCTACTTGTTTGTTTTTTTTGTCTTATTCCATTGATAAATTGTCTTTGCTATTGGCCTAAATCAAGAGAAAACAAACTTATTTTTAGTAGAAATGACTTGTTTCGTTTTTGTAGTGTTTGCTGTCGGTCAGGGGCCCTAACAGGGGCCAGGACCCGTTCTACAGGAGCGCTGACCCTGTAGAACGGGTCCCTGTCTAGAAGCACCTAAGCCACTGAATAATGCAACAGAAAGTCTTTTTTTATATATATTATCTGAATAGTAGGAAGAAAAAAACTCTTATAACTTCTGTTTTATTAGCAGTATTTTAAATATATTATATTTTAAATACAGTATTTATAATCTAACTGGTACGTTTATTGTCTTTTTCACATTCATTGTAAATTGATGATCGTCTGGATGGAAAGAAAACATCAAACATGCTTTTTAGTTTTTAGATATTTTATGGATTGAAACATGAACTCATCGTCCGTAATGAGTGCAGCGATTAAATGTAGGTGTTTTTTTTTTGGATGAAGTTTAAATCTATCAGTTTTGTAGGTGTTTGCACCAATAAAATCTGATTTGTTTGGATGCAATAGCGGGAAAATGATACTTTTGGGTGAAATCTTAATTAAACGGCTCCAACAAAAGCCTGGCTGCTTTTCTGAGGCTCAGGTTAGATTTTAAACAAGCAGTTTTCTCATTGTCTGACATGAAATATATTTTTTAAACTCATGTTAAGGTAATTTTTCTCTTTCTGCAGAGAAAAAATCAGATCTTTGTTTATTGTGTGTTATTCGGCTCTGCCTGTGGTTTGGCTGCTTTCCACCTGCAGGACGTCAGCGCCCTCCTCATCTGGATGAATTGATCTAAAGAGGAATTACAGCAGAGAGGATTGTCCCCCTCTCTCCTCCAGATTACCCCCCTCCCTTCCCAATCCTCCACCCGGCAGATTACAGAGCAGGAAATCAGAGGTGGGCCTGATGCGAGGCAGTGAATTCATTATGGAGCTGATCCAGTCCATCCCTGAACGATGCTAGCTTTGCTGTAAGTCCGGGTCAGAACCTTCGGCGCTTCCTTTGGTGACAAACCCCTGGAGATGCTGGGATTAAACCCGTCTGCCTGCTTTAGGCACCTTATGTCATTGCTTCGCCTGCTTCTGGCTCTTATTTTGAAAGGTTTGGCTAACGGCTGATGCGATGCTACTGCAGGATATTTTCTAAGGCTGCTTTACAGTCGTTTCTTTTTGTTGTTTATTCTAATAAACTGAAACAAGTTGGTGCATTAATATTAGAAAGATGAGAAGGTTCCTGGAAAACATTCAAATTTAAGCATCATGGAGACCAAAAAAGCTCAGCTTACAGTCAGAGAAAGCTGCATCTGCATCACCCACATATCTACCAACAGGCATGTCTGCAGGGAGTCAGAGCTAAGCAACAACAAGGTGAAATCTCACCTGCAACCCCACCCTTTTAAAGCATGGTGGTGGCTGCATGATGATGCGGAAATGCTTTTCTTCAGCAGAGACTGGGAGGCTGGTTAGATTTTACTGGTTGAATGGAACTGAGTCCCCTTAAAACTCTCTGGAAACGATCAACCATTTTTTCTGTCCTGATTTGAACCCACTGCTGTATGGAGAGACATTTGGTCCAATATTATCAAAGGCATGGACTATGTTACAAACAACAGAAAATGTGACTCAAGACTTATAATTTAAAGAAAACACATTTTAGAGTAATTTGTAATTTTTACAAAAGAATTCAATGATATTAACGTTTTCTGCTGTTTTTGTTTTTATTTTCTAAATTACAGATTTCAAATAATCTTTCTGATGTTGTGTATTTAATTTTTTTTGTCAATTATGTTTTTTCCAATTTTTGGGTGACGGAGTTTTACCAATTGCTTTCTTTTAAAATCCCGTTTTACAGATTTAACCTAAAACCTCTGGGTGGTCTGTGTGCGGACCAATAGGAGGGCTGTTGCTAACGTCCAACCAGAGCAGACTCATTTCTATTGGTCCACGGACAGATCAACTAGAAATGAAGAGGGAAAAATCTTTAAATAGGGATTTAAAGGGAATGCAAATTTTTGACCCCAAAAAATCGATTGAAAATAAGAACTTAAAAAATATATGATTTGACAAAACTCTGGAAAGATTATATGAAATAAGTTACTTTTTTTCTTAATAAGATCTGGAAAAGAAAAAAAAATAGAAAATGAAATCAGGCAAAAATACCTGAGAAAATATAAAATAAAAAATAGAGCAAAGCTGGAAGAAAAAATGTGAAACATGTTTCTTAGAAAAATTACATTTGGCAAATAAAATGTGAAAATTGGCAAACTAAATATATTGGTTTGATGTTTACATATACATAATAGATTTAGGGCTTCAACTTATTCTTATTTTGCAAATTAATTTATCTGTCAATAATTTTTTCGATTAATCGGATAGCTAAAAGTTCCTTAAATATGATCTTTTTTTTTTACGAATTACACCAGATTAAACTCAACTTGAATATTCTGGGTATAGCATATTGATGACAAACATTTTTTTTTTAAATCTAAAATGCTAAATATTTATATAATTTTTTTTTTACAATCATGGTATAGTTAGTGCTCTAAGAGGGTCACTCTCGGGTAAAGGCGTGTTTTAGAGTCTCTGTACTCAAGTTAAAGATTAATCAATTACTTAATTAGTTGATGATTATTTCAATAATCCATTAATTACGATTTATCTGATTGTTTTAGCCCTAAATAGATACTCTCTAAACCATTTGTTTGTTTTTATTTAGAAGGCTTACAAACACATTTTTAAATTTTCAGTTTTTCTTTCACGAATATAGGACCAAATTTCTCTCCATACTGTTGGGCCTTTTCCAGCTAAACCCCCAGCCTCTACCAGAACAGATACTCCTGCGTCCATAATGCTGCTGTCCTGAGACTAATTTTACTCCTGAGTCAACTTTCCAGCACCAAACAGCACCTGCTGTGGTTTGGCTGCTGTGTGCCCATTATTATTTACGCTTCTATGGA